GAGGCTTAACCCATCACACGCATGGCTAAGTGGTGGGGGGGGGGGGGGTATTTGCAGCAGGTAAACACAATGCGAATGAGAGAATACAGCGGAGTCGGGTTGCACTCAATTTGGATTTTATAGGCGCACGCAAATTGTTTGCTGAATCGTGCCGCATGGGAAGATTAGCGCCCCAGCTGCAGCCGTGGGTCCGTTTCGGTGCGTGCAACACGAGCGGGCCCACGTCGCTGACCTGTTTTCCGATGTGCAGTAAAACGGATCGCGGCGGCATGAGCGTTCACCCCCCTCGTTGTGAGAAGGAGAGGTTCGAACTTCCGAGAATGGATGAGGCGGGTCGCCCTGGTTCACCACAGCAAGGGGAAGCCGCGTTCACCTGTGAACTCGCCCGGTGGCTCGAGGGCTCGCCATCGTCGGAAAGGTTTGCGAAGTCAAATACCTGCTGCACGATGGACTTGTCATCCCTTCGATGGAGGGGAGGGGGGCGATAAATGAGGTACAATAATGGAGATCTTTGTTTTTTTTTTCTGTTTCTCGGCATTTTAACCGCACACGTCCAGAATCCATGAACTCTGCAACAGGACATTCTGAATGTATGTGTAGGGGAAATAAATATATAAATGGTGGTGTAAGGCAAAAGTACCAAAATAAATCTAGATTTTGCAACACTTAGAGGAAATAACACAGGTGTCCCATACAGACGTCAATCATCTGAACATGTTGGTATGACGGCAATTTTTCGAAATGCCGCCATATCAAGTGGCAGTTTACCTGCAACAACAACGAAGACAAAGCTCACACCTCACATATATCAGAGTTGCGCACCTGCAGGGCAACCGTCCCATGCCCCCCTCCTGGCGAGATGTTAACTACCTCGCCTGGTATGCAGGAGGTCGTGAATTCGATCCCGACCCTTGTCGTCTGCTGTATATTTGTAGTGTGCGTGTCTCTCTCCCCGTGGTGGCGTGGATTTTTCTCCGGGTTCTCCGGTTTTTCCCTCCACATTTAAGAAACACGCAATCAGAGCATTTGGCTGCCGCTGTAAATGTCCACGTGACGAGCCACTTCGTTGGGCTTTCATTTGTGGCCGGGTCGCTTCTGAAAAAGAGCATTATAGCCCAGCGGGCACTACCTGGTAAAAAAATAAATAGTTAATAGTTTTAGTGTAGGTCATTCCCGTGGTGTTAACCGTAAATAAGTCAATATAACTGTACGTCGTCAGTTTCGCAGTGGACATCAACAGAGCCTCCCGTGACGATGTCAAAACGGGTCGGCCGTGTTTGTGTGACTGCGTCACGGTCTCAATTTGGTAAAAGTCGATTAAATGACACCGGAAACGACACGCGGATATCATCCGCCAGCAGGGTGCGACGCTGCTAATTGGTTTGACACATTCGGCACATCGCTGCCTATAACTGGCCGACATCTTCTTCCGCGTGGGCTGCCGATGTGGACGTGGAGCAACGACGACAACTTGACATCCAGGTGGCCAAGCCCCGACAACGACGTCCGGAGCAGCGGAGTGTATCGCTGCGATGATGTCTCCTCCTTCGTGTGTGTGGATAGGGCACTGCGTCGTTATGCGTTGCACGGTGTCTGTACGGGATGACCGCAGCCGCTCACCGCTGGAAAGTTTTTCATCTTCGACTTGACCGACTATCAGCCCAGCGCCAGAGTGATGGCCCTGCGCTGTATAGGAATGTCGTGAATACCACATCACAACATTATCAGTCGGTATTATTCCTGCGAGCAGTTAAAACAATAGCACCGTGCATTCCATTGCTCACCTACCTCCTCATCCTCCTCCTCAAAGCCCAGGGCTACTTCCGTGGCCTTTACGGTTTACGATCTGGGTGCATTTTGACGCCCCCGACGGCATTCTTTCTAAATTCCTGGTGCGCCGAGCGTGCCTCTCTCTCTCTCTCTTTCTCTCTCGCCGCCTCTTCTTATTATTATTCCTTCATTGTCATCGTAGTCATCTGCGTTTGCGACATACATGAGGGGTAGGGTCAGTCTGCTGCGGCGCAAGCTTCAGCCGACACGGCCAAAACGTGAGTCTCCGTCGCGGAATCAAACCGTCTTGCGTGAGCTGTCGGTGCGGTTTTAAATTGACCACAGATATAATCGTTGCATATGTTGGTATTCCTGCACGTGCTAATGGCAGCAGCAGCAGCAGCAAGACGTTTCAGTAGCTCGATGGCCACGACAAGAGGGCTTCAGCAGGGAGAGTTCGTGTCGTGTCGCTGTGCTTCCTCCTCCGCAGACCGCGGTGGTTTAGTCTGCGGTCCACAGTTTGGGTCGCATGGCCACATTCACACGAGTGTAGCTTGTCTTTAATTCATCTCTATGGGTCTCTATGTATCTCTCTGTATCTCTATGGGTTTGTATGTATATCTCTATGTCTCTATGTATATCTAATGTATCGCGTGAGTTTCTATGCATCTCTATGGGTCTCTATGGGTCTCTCTGCATCTCGATGGGTTTGTATGTATATCTCTATATGTCTTTATGTATATCGAATGTATCGCGTGAGTTTCTATGCATCTCTATGGGTCTCTATGGGTCTCTCTGCATCTCGATGGGTTTGTATGTATATCTCTATGTCTCTATGTATATCTAATGTATCGCGTGAGTTTCTATGCATCTCTATGGGTCTCTATGTATCTCTCTGCATCTCGATGGGTTTGTATGTATATCTCTATGTCTCTATGTATATCTAATGTATCGCGTGAGTTTCTATGCATCTCTATGGGTCTCTATGTATCTCTGAGTCTCTCTGTATCTCTATGATTCTCTGCAACATTTAAGGCTTGCCCATTCGTGAAGGAGATATATCCCCACGCGGTGGTTGATGCGAACTCCGGCGTATTCGAGGAATGTCGGCGCCAGGAGGTGCGATGATCGGGTCTCCGCTCAGCCGCTCATTGTGGACGCACGCGTAGTCGCTCGCTGCCCGCCAAGTGCCCTCCTGGGTGTGGGTGGGATTCTGGGGACGGTGATCGCGGCGGCGAGTGGCATCGTCGAGGTCTCGGTCGATGGGTAGAAGAAGCACAAATCGCAGGAAATTGCTCATTGACCGAGGATGGCCTTCACTCGATAGAATGAATCATTGTTCGGAGGTTCCTGCATCGTGTACGTCATTTTTTTGTTCCGCCCAATGTTAGTGAGGGCCAGCAGGGCAGGACACACGAGGCGTTGGGTGGGCAGCGGCCACGCCCGACCGCCTTTGTCTCCCCAGTGGCGATGTTTGCGCACCGCACCTCCCCAGTGGAGATGTTTACACGCCGCACCTCCCAAGTGGCGGTGCTTGATGTTTACACGAACACGCTCGCAAACGCACGCGCATGCAAACCAGCGCTATATCGCACACACGCCACCGCAATTTATCGGTTGGCTCGGTGGACGCTTGGACTCGATCCCCAAACGCGGCAGTTCAAACATTGGGGGGGGTTCGGAGGGGTGGGTAAATCTCTACAATCCCCACCGCCTCGATTCGCCCGGCGGTGTACATTGGCTTCACCGCGGTTAGGTTTATCGGCCGGTCACGTGTGGCGGTGGGGTAAAGTGTGGGTAGGTCCCACAACTCCAAAGACATTTGGCCGGCGTGGAAGAGTAGACCAAAAAAACCCTCCGAAGGAGGAGGGGTCTCTCTCTCTCTCTCGAGCTCCCTTTGTCAGTCGTTTCTGGTGGGGGGTTGATGCCACGAGCAGTGGCGTGAAAGTGGGCAATTGCAGGGCCCGCGCCTCTACCTTCTCATCGATCTCCCACTATTGCGCAACGCCGAGTCTTCCTCATTTGTGAAACAAACGCAACCTCGCCTGGTTTCGGAACTACGCTCGGGGACGGCTGTCGCGCTTGGCGGCTGTACAGGCGAACACGATATGGGTGTCGAGCGCTGCGTCGCGTCTGAATGGACGGCTCGGGCGTGGGCGTTCGTACCTTGGCCCTGTGCGCATTCCTCTGCAGAACTTGCCAGGTCAGCCCCAGCACAAACCCCCCCCCAACGCCCCCTGCCCCCCCTACCCCCCACGACACTCACCCCCTCCCTCCTTCCAATTACCACATCCCCAAAGATCCCCCGTGTAGCCTTGACAGACTGTTGGGGGTCGTTCTGTTAGCGAGTGGCACCTATGAAGGCCAGCTCGGCACACGAGGGGGTGGGTGGTCAGCCTGTGTCTCCCTCGTGGCGATGTTTACACACCGTACCAGGTACTCATTTGAGGCTGAGTCGACCTAGGGGAGGCCCAGGACCGGTGTTGTGCCGTGAGTGGTAATCGAACTCGGGTCAGCCGGGTTCTTTGCGGAGCATAGCGCTAACCGCTGCACCACCGCTCTCCCCTCCCTCCCACTGGCTACCACGTGCCCCCAGCACCTCCACCACCATAAATGAACGCCATAGTTAAGCCCCCAAAGGTGACAAGACAATGTATTAAAAAATACCTAGAATGCGTGCGTGTGTGTGGCCAAGGTGTGGTGCTGGCCACCCACCCTTTCGTGTGCCGTGCAGGACTTCATAAGCGCTACTCGCGAACAGCACTTGCCCAACAGTCTGTTAAGGCTATGAGAGAGGGGGTGGGATATTTCCCTTCGTGTGTGTACTTTTGAAAACCACGTGCCAATCATTGCCGTTTTGCAACATCTAAATGAAGGCGCGGCCCTGCAATTGCTCACTCACGCCAGAGCTGGCAGGCGGGGGACCTCCACTGAGATGAGCTCGAGAGAGAGAGAGAGCCCCTCCTAGCGGAGAGATAGGGTACTTTGGCCTCCTCTTCCATTCTGGCCAGTTGTGTTTGCTATTGGGGTGGCGGTGGGGTCTATACCCACACTTTAACCCCGCCACGCACGTCCCGGTCTGCGCAAGCCGCTGGGTGGACGATGACGAAGGCAGCGTGGGACGGGAGTTGAGGAATTCGCCTGGCGCCGCCAGCCCTTGGCGACGCCGTCGGCCGTGCGCCGCCGCGTGGACTCTGACCTCTTGGCTCCTCGGCCCCCTCCCGCCGCAGCTCACGCCGGCGGTACTCGAGCAAGCGCGCCTCCGCCGCATCCCCGGCTTCCAGAAGCCGCGGACTCTCAGCCGCATCCAGGCGAGCCGCGAGAAGCAGGAGCTGGAGCGGAAAAACGGCGCCGAGGAGGACGCCGCCGCTGCCGCCGCCGCCAAGCTCAACGGAAAGGTGACACTTCACGTGGCCTCAAAGTGCACATAGCCTGGCACAAGCGTCGTGGTGACGTCACCGCCACTTAGTGGCGAATGGCGGTTGTTGTTGTGGTGTATGTGACGATTATCATGGGGAGCGGTAGTGTAGCCGTTAGCGCGCTGCGCTACGAAACCCGGCGACCCGAGTTCGAATACCCGCTCACGGCCACCAACACCGGTGACGATTATTTGAACTTGTCCCGGAAACTTTTTTTTACCGAGTTCGATCCGCGCGAGTCCAGGAGCCCATGGATTGTGTTGTTTTTTTACGAAATCTTGTGCTCGGTTGTATCCCGATTGTGCTGTCGACGTTATGCCAAGAGAAGACCCATCTATTCGGAACGCTCGCACAGCGCTGGCACTCTTCGATACCCGCTTACGGCCAGTGGATATCACAGAGCTGCGTCTGAGTCTGACATCCCTCGGCGAACCTCCGGTCCACACGCAGCAGAAGGCGGTGCATTGTCACCCGCTCTGCATATGAGAGTAGTGTTCATCGTGTGACTGTCAAACCGATATTTATTTCTCAGAGCTGGAATTTAATAGAAGTTTAGCGTAAAACCAAAAAAAAATGTGCTTTTTGTGCAGTCATCGGTGACCGGGCTGAGACGACCATAAATTCGCTGCTGTACTTGAGGACGTGATTCTAATCACAGGCAACTTCAGTCCGTGAATTCGGTTGCTGGATGAAGCTCCCGGCGCGCGGAGCAAAACGTCGCGCCCAACGAAAACGCGGAAGCACCCAAAAACGCATCTGGAGTGAGCGGCGTGTACACGGCCCAGCGGCCCGACCCCCTCCCCCCGCGGGCACGCGCGTGCGGTGCCACCGCTAACGTGGCCGTCTCGCCCCCCCCCCCCTCCGTGCCCGCGTGCTGCCCAGCAGCCCTCCGCTGGCAAGCGGGCGTCCCTCTCCCAGCAGTGGATGGAGGTGACGCAGGGAGAGTCGGCGGACGGGGTGCCGGTGACCGTTCACGGGGCGCCTCGCGCAGGCCCCGGCTCGACGGCAAAGCCCGCCGCCTCCGCTTCTAAACTCTCCACCTTCCACGCCACCGCCGCCACCGCCACGCCCTTCGCCAAAATCCCGGCCCCTCCGAGCCACCCTCCGCCGGCCACCCCTCCCGACGCCTGTGTGCCGACGACGGCCGACGATCGCACCGACGGAAGGGAGGCCTTCGTCCCGGGCTCCGCGACCGTCGCCGATTTCGACTCCGACATCCCGCCGCCCCCCGGCGTGCCGGCGCCCCCCCCGCCGCCGCCGCCGCCACCGCCGCCACCGCTGCCACCGCTGATGACGGAAAACGGCGTCCGCTCTTCGTGGCCGCGGCCCGGCAGCAGCCTGAGCAGCGGCAGCATGGAGGAGACGTGCGGCTCGTCGTCACGCCGCTCCTCCTCCTCTTCGTGTAAGGCCCCCCCGACACCACCCACACCGCCCACACCCACCCACCGACCCCCCCCCCTCCCCGCCGTTGCGCACCGGCGGTCATGGAAAGACGTGTCAATGATTTGGCAAAATGTTCTACGGACTTTATTGTTTATTTATCACGAGCGATGTGGCCCTGCCTCACGGAAGCGGATGTCACAGAGCTACCTCTGAGACCCCTTCTTCTTCTTCAAGTGACCTCTAGTCCACCGCGCACACAGCGGAGGGCAATTCTTTGCCACCTGCTCCGCCGTGTGAGTGTGAGATTCGTCACGTGACAGCCAAACTGATAGAGGGCTGGCATTTTCGCCACAATTAAGTGCGGAACCAAATTTCACGCGATTTTTGTCGTTGACACCATCAACTCGCTACACTGCGAGGAAACCACTTTCATCACGGGCAGTTGAAATCTGGCTCAGCACTCTGACCTCTTGGCAACCGTCCCACCCAGCGCGATCCATTCACAGATACCCCGACAAAAATCGTTGAACCGCGTCACGGCCACAACGGAGCTGTGGCGTGAACGCCGCCATGCGTTCACGCGAGGGCTGTGTGGCACTCGAGTTCCCATGAATCGTTCCCTCCTCTTATTTGTGCCCCCCTTGTCCTGTGGGCCCCCCCCCCACACCCACCGCGCCCCCCCCCCCCATCCCCCCGGCACCCCGCGCAGCCAGCATGCCCGTGTTCAACATGCAGTCGCCGGGGCCCAACGACGCGCTGCTGCAGGAGCTCAAGGCGGGCCGCGTGCTGCGCCCCACCTCCAAGAGCAAGGCCGTCACCACCGTGTTCTCCGGACGGGGCCAGACGGTGAGGCCCTCGGGTTGTTTACGGCTCGGGAGGGGTGGGGGCGCCGGGTGGCTGTAGAGTGGTCGCGGCGGTGGCCGGTTGCACGTGCGCACTTTTCCACTGGCACGTCGGAGTCGAGCCAGCGCAGGGCCCCGACGGTGAGGGGTTTGTATTCACTTGTGAGAAAAATCGCCGGCTTCTTTGCCGTGCCCAGCCCAGCCAGAACCACAACCCATAGCACGCCGGCCTCGCGAGAAGATGTCCCAATGTCCCATTGCCGAAAATAAATAGTCGAATCTTATCTCATATTATAGGTTCAAGAGAGCAGCGACTTATTTCGAGACACTTTAGAACAATTATAAAATTAATATTGAACCCACGACGCTCTCCCGTAAACCAGGCGAGGGAGTTAAGATCGGCCTTCATTTATAGGTGCTCGCTAGCAGCACCTGCCCCAGCAGTCTGTGAGTCAATGTGGGGGATCTTAGCGCATGTGCGTTGGGGGGGGAGCGGGAGTGTTAGCGGTTCGCGTGCCGCGCTACAAACCCAGCGACCCGAGTTTAATTCGCTCTCACGGCCACCAACACCGGCAATGATTGTATGAACCGGTCCTGGACCTCTCCTAGGTCGACACAGCCTTAAATGAGTATTTGGTACGGTGTATAAAGATCGCCACGAGGGAGACAAAGGCGGCCTGGCGTGGTGCTGGCCACCCACCTGTTCATGTGCTGTGCCAGCCTTCGTAGGTGCTCGCTAACAGCACTTGCTCCTCCAGTCTGTTAAGGCTACACGAGATCTGTGTCTTTGTAAAAGTAGCGTGGTGGTTATCGCACTGCGCTACGAACCACGTGACCCGAGTTCGATTCCGGGTCGACTCGGCCTTAAATCAATACCCGGGTTGGTGTGTCAACATCGGCACCGTATTAATAGGTTAGCTCGCTATCAGCATTAGCCCCAACAGTCTGCAAGGCTCTCCAGGGGTATCTGTGTGACGTGTATCGATGACCGCTGCAACCGCATCCTTGTTTGCTGTTGCTGTTGAAATAGGTGCTTGGTAGCAGCACCTGTCCTCGGGTGACCTGGAATAAATATCATCTCCTTGTGTCCGTGGTGTGATCGCGAGTAGCGCCACTGGACGTTCAAATGCAGTTGGTCACAGAGGTTCGATCCCATCTCCCGGTGTGGAATCTGAACCCGTGGTGGAGAAAGGGTGCCGCCGCTGGTTAGCCAATGGGCAGGTCGCGTGCTGCGCGGGTACCCTCACCCCTTCAAGGACGTCTGACCGGTTTCGATGGGTTTGCCACCTGCCCGGGTTTGACTTAGCCACGTGCTGGTTTGACCCGGACAGTCTGCAGAATTGGGCATCCGTGTCCAGGCGGGTGGGGCTTGATACATGAAGCGTGGGGACTCCGACACCTTTGGAGACGTCTGGCCTGCGTGGAAGAGTAGGCCTGGGGAGGACACCTCGAGTGGAGCCCCTTTCCGCCAGCGGTGGCATAAGCGGAAAATTGCAGGGCTTCACCTTTACCCGTCACCTCTACCTTTGTCTCGGCGTGCGTTGACTCAGTCCTCCAATGAGTGCCCGGTGCAATGTGTAAACGTCGCCTCTGGGGAGACAAAGGTGGCCCGGGTGTGTGCTGGCCACCCACCGCCTCGTGTGCCGTGCCGGCCTTCGGCAGTGCTACTCGCTAACAGCACTTGCCCCAACAGTGTGTGAAGGCTATACGGGGGCGGGGGGGGTTTTGTCTTTGTTGTGTGCGCAAGGTGGGTACGGCAATCGGCTGCTGGGACGAGATGGCCGCTCCTGAAAGCAGGAAACGTGAACGCTGCTCACGGGCTCGTGACGTCGGGTGGTGGCGCAGGGGTAACACCCGTGGTGCCTCGCGGCAGGAAGGAGGGCCTGGGTTCGATTTCGGACCCAGGGTGCCTTCCTGTGTGTCGAGTGTGAGTGTGTGGGCGAGTTTGTATGTTCTCCCCCGAGTTATATAGAGTGTGAGTGAGTGGGTCAGTGTGCGGAGTCTGTGTATGCTCTCCCCCTGTTCTGCGCGGGTTTCCACCAGGTTCTCCGCTTTCCTCCCATAGCTGAAAATAAACACATTCAAACACACACAATTTGACCGGTATTGACTATAACGTCCCAATGCTACACTCAGCTGCAGCAGCAGTAGCGGCAAGATCGCGCCCCCTGCTGTGGCATCTTGCGAGAGTCCTCCGATAGAAAATAAAGTCCTGAGACTCGGTGAAGCGTTCCTGGAAAAACAAGCGTGATCATGATTCTTACAGCAATGCCAGGCGACCTCGCCAAACACGGGGGGGGGGGGGGCGGGTTGCGTTCCTACAAAATGGCGCGTTGGACAAAACCGTGTTCGACAAATGATCGGCCTCGTGGGTCCAAAACTATCACCCCTCCCTCTCCCCTCTTTGTTTAAAGAGCGGACGTGTAGATGCGTTCGACGATGTGAACACTTGCGTTGTGACGTTGTGTGTGTTGAGTACGCGTTACATTATTGTGCAAAAAACTGCACGCGATAAATGTACGCGCGCAACAACATTCGTGGTAAATAAATCATTCTCGCGGTCAATTCATCCGCACCTTCCGACGAATGCAAACCGCGTCGAGCCAAAACGAGCGTTCGATAAAACGGCGTGGGGTGAGCTTTTCCCGTGTATCGAATGAAGCGCGTCGACGATGCGATATCTCATTCCTCCGTCCTGCCCCTCCCGCACGTGTCTTTCGACAGAGCCTGAACGACAACGCGCACAAGATGGAAACGCATGACGCGCCGCAGAGGGTAGACGGTGCCGGGGCGCAGGCAGGCGGCATCACCACCAACACCAACGCGGTCAATGGCAAGGGCAAAGCCACACCCTGTGATGGCCACATGGCCAATGGCGGCACAGACGGCACCAAACCGACAGCCAATGGTGTGCCGAGATCCTACAGCGCCAGTTACGGCCCTACCAGTCCCACCGCGGCCGGTGGGCTCGGCACCAGTTCTACTGCCGGTCAATCCTCGACCGCAAGTTTCCTCGGTGGACCCACTGCCAATTCAGCTGCCGGTAAATCCGTCACGAGATTTTCCTTCGGGGGACCCACCGTAAATTCTGCTGCCGGTAAATCTGCGACCGCAAGTTCTTTCAGTGGACCCACCGCCAATTCCTATGCTGGTAAATCTGTGACCGCAAGTTCCTTCGGTGGAGCCACTGCCAATTCTGCATCCGATAAATCTGGAACGAGAAATTCCTTCGGCGGATCCACCGAAAATTCCGCTGCCGGTAAATCTGTGACCGCAAATTCCTTCGGTGGAGCCACCACAAATTCTGCATCTGGTAAATCTGCGACAAGAAATTCCTTCGGCGGATCCACCGCAAATTCCGCTGCCGGCAAATCTATGACCGCAACATCCTTCGGTGGAGCCACCAGCGTTTCCACTGCCAGTAAATTCACCATCAGTTCTGCCGGTACAGCAACCACCACCAGGGCAGGACCCAACTCCGGAGGTGACGTCACGGATGGTGGCGGCGGCGGCGGTAGCAGGGACGCCTCCGGACTCAGGATGAATTTGAATCCCACAGGAGGAGGGGGATGGGTGGTCACACCTGGCGGGGGTGGCAGAGGAGCTACCACCATCACTGGAGCGGCGGGTGGGAGTAACGTCGCTAGCGGGCGGGTGCTCGGCACCAATGCGGCTGGGCCCGCTGGCGGGGGGGCCAGCTTCAAAATCCGGAGCGCCAACGGAATAGAATTCGGAGGCAAGGGGGGAGCACCGACGGGTGGTGGCGGTGGTGCTGTTGGCGCTGGGATGAACGGCCAGATCAGGCCGGTGGTGACACTACCAGGTGAAGGCAAGGGAGCAGCACCAATCGGTGGCGGTGGCGGTGGTGGTGGTGACGCTCGCAGTGGAAAAGCCTTGGGTGCTGGCGCCCGTGGTAGCGTTAAATCTGCCGAGATGAATGGCCAGGTCCGGTCGGCGGTAGTGGCGCCCCCGCAGATGCCCAGCGCGACGGGAAACACTTTGCCCACCTGGCAGCTGGAGATGATCCAGCGCAAGAAATCCAAGAAGGTGGAGAAATGAGAAGGGCGTGCCCCGTGGTGGTGAGGTTGGACGATAAATGTGTTTTTGTTCCCGGCCAGAGTGATTGTTTAACTGAGATTTAAAATAAGCAGCCAGGTGAGTGGATGGTCCTCCGTCAGCAAATGGCTGCACACAAAAAAAAAACACAACAAAAAAATTGAAAAAAACAATACATTTATTTCTGCACTTAATTAGGATAATTTCCAAAGGATTAAATTATCCGTTTGACTCTCGTGCAATGAAACTCGCTCGCGCGTGGCAGATATATTGTGCGAGTTGACCAGAGGTCGCCGGAAACGACGTCCAACGGTAGCTCTGTGAGATCTGCTTCAGCGGGGCGTTCCCCCATCACCAATTGTCGCACTGCTCCGCAAGAGATCCGAATTCTCTGCCTCGTGACGCGACGCCGTTGGTGCAATCGGCATCAACATCCGATGGAAAAAAAAAACATTTTAACAACACAAAGGCACGGCATTGATTGCACGCGGTGGAAATGTAAATTAGTATATGCACGAAGGCAGTTTAATATAATTGAAGCTCATGAGAATATTTTCTGGAGGGTGGTGGGGTGGGGGGGGGGGACTCGAGGATGGACTCAAGCTGCACTGCAATGACACCCACTCACTTCCCGTGATGTCCCGACTCGCTCGCTCGCTCGGACGATGACGCCACGGGCCTTTCCAGATCTCGTTCCGCTGCTTGGAGAGGATTCAGCAGGGGATGAGATGGATGGACGTTGGGATGGGGGTGGGATGGATGGATGAACCTTGGGATTGGATGGATGGAAGTTGGGATGGGATGGATTGAATTTGGGATGGGATGGACAGACGTTGGAAAGGGGGTGCAATGGATGGACGTTGAGATGGGATGGATGGACGTTGAGATGGGATGGATGGACGTTGTAATGGAGTGGCTGGATGGACGTTGAGGTGGGCGATGGTGGTTTGGTTCAACGCAGCAAAGGCTCTGCCCCATTGGACTTGATGGGAAAGTCTAGCGCGCGTTTCTTGTCGTACGGCTATAACTTTACCAATAAATCAGGTATCGTGATGATGAATGTCTTTAATAATTATTATTGTGATGACGATAGTCGAGGAATTATGATGGCGGCCACCGGGCAGGAGATGGAGTGATGAAATGAGTTGCTGTGGAGGTGCCGGGGTGGATTATTTAATCGCAGGATCGCGAAGGGATTTTGGCGACGGTGGCGGCCGGCGACTTTAGGGCAGGGGGCTCCATCCAGCAGTGGATTTATCGTGGCTGATGATGGTTAAAATAACTGAGTGTATTTTGTTGTTATGTCATCCATGTGAATCAACACTCATTTGTAATACTGCAATCGTAACAAGCGTGTCTTGCTCTACAAATTGTGCCATTTGTATTTTACACAAACGCGCGCGCACACAAACACACACGCACGCACGAAGACAAAGACCCCTCCAAACCCGTATCCTTTTAAAGGCTGTTGGGGCCAGATCCTGTTCGCGTGCACCAATGAAGACCGGCATGGCACAAAAGTTGGGGTGGGTGGCCAAAACCCTACCTTGGCTGACTTTGTCTCCCCCACATCAGGTATTCATTTTAAGGCTGAGCTGACCTAGGAGCAGGCTCGGGGACCGATTCAAATATTCACTGGCACTGTTATTGGTCGTGAGCGGCAATCGAACTCGGCACGCCGGGTTCGTAGCAAAGCGCAGCGTGCTAACCGCTGCACCGACGCTCCCTCCACACGCATCAAAGACACACACACAAAGACACACACACACAAATGATAAATTACACACATATAACCTTGAAAGTGTCTAAATAGAACGTGCTCTTGTGCGACGTCTGAATGATCCGCGTGTCGTCGCGACTCTGCGGGGCTGCGCGTGCAACTCCATTCGCCCCGTGGTGGATGTCGCGAACTCGTCCCGCGGTATCTAAGAACTATTCCGTCTGTTTCGACCGCTGGAGATCGCCTCCAATCGCCGTGCTGCAATGTCAGGTCGTCTGACGAGAGAGGGGCAATAAACGTCGACTTTTCGTGGCAACGGGAGGAGTCGTGGCCGCGGTTCTTGTTTGCGTGCCGCGGATTTTTTTTTTGTTTCAACGGCGGTCTTGGGATTTTGTCTTTCGCTACCCAAATTTGTCGCGACCCTAAATCTCCTTCCCGAAGCGTGAGCAGCGTGGAAGTGAGACAAAGGTGGTGCAGAGAAGAAGGCGGCCTGATTCTGTTACCTGTCAACGCCCCTTTTACAGACCGACTCGGACCTTAGCGGTCACCCCGTGTGCCATTACATCTCAAAGTTCATCCTACAAAGTCCGAACGCAAGCGAGAAACACAAACAAATAGACAATCACCACTTGTACACTCACCACTAGTACACTCACCACTAGTACACTCACCACTACTCACCACTAGTACACTCACCACTACTCACCACTCCTCACCACTAGTACACTCACCACTAGTATACTCACCACTAGTACACTCACCACTAGTACACTCACCACTACTCACCACTAGTACACTCACCACTACTCACCACTAGTACACTCACCACTAGTACACTCACCACTTCTCACCACTAGTACACTCACCACTAGTACGCTCCCGCTAGTACACTCACTACTACTCACCACTAGTATACTCACCACTACTCACCACTAGTACACTCACCACTAGTACACTCACCACTACTCACCACTAGTACACTCACCACTAGTACACTCACCACTACTCACCACTAGTACACTCACCACTACTCACCACTACTACACTCACCACTACTCACCACTAGTACACTCACCACTACTCACCACTACTCACCACTAGTACACTCACCACTAGTACACTCACCACTACTCACCACTACACTCCACTACTCACCACTAGTACACTCACCACTACTCACCACTAGTACACTCACCACTACTCACCACTAGTACACTCACCACTAGTCACCACTAGTACACTCACCACTAGTACACTCACCACTAGTACACTCACCACTACTCACCACCAGTACACTCACCACTACGTACCTGTCAACCCCTTCTCAGTGCCTATCCTATTACAGACCGACTCAGACCTTATCGGTCATCCCGTGCCCTTATAAATCTCAACGTTTATCCTTAAGTCCCATCACAAGGGAGAAACACAAAGACAAAAACATGTGCCCGGATTGAAACGGCTGTGTGCCGCATGGATATGCAAACTCAATGTCCCTGTGCAAGAATACGGGTTAACCCGTATGGGTCGACAGGTTTGTGATGCAGGGAGTGATGAGAAGGAAACGAACTATTTTGACATACGTGTTGGATGAACAACAACAGGAAAATTTAAAGTGTGTTGTTGTTCGGAAAAATGCAAGGAACAGAAAATATAGGAAGACCTAACAGAGCATGGCTTGATGACGACAAAGGGAGGTTTGTGCCAAAAAGATGCGGCGACGACTTGAGACTCTTGGCACGAGACCGAGGAGGAAAGTGAAAACGAATGAGGGGATTGGCAGTGGACACCGACTGGCGATGATGATGATGAAATCATTTCCCAAACTTTTCGCACATAATTTAATCGGCAGGCCCGTGGGTGGGCGACGCACGTGGCTTGTCTGTTGTGATCCCGCACGCTGGAAGGCAGCACACCAGGGTTGGTGAACCACGCACACGCACACACAGATGTGAAATCCCTTCCCCGTTGGAGGGCGTACCCTGGCTCGCCAGGAGACGACGCCTGTCCCGTCTGTGCGGGATCGAGCGTTTCTCCCTCGCACCCCCGTGGGTTTGCTCCCAAGTTGCTCCGGTTTCCTCTGGCATGAGATGGCTCGTTCATCGGCCGAGACCATCTCGGTATGGAGAGGACCCGCAGAGCTTGGCGGCCGTCCATAAATGACGTCACGCGATTTTGGACCATTTTTGACCCCCCCCCCCCCTTCGTCACACGGCGTCACAAAAAGTCAGACCCCCCCCCCCCTCAAATATGACGTCACAAAGCTCTGCCCCCCCTCCCCCCAAAAAAACGCATGCTTCAAATCGCTTAACTATTGTCATTTTCTTGGTTCTTTCGGTAAAGTCACGTAGAAGGGAAATAATAAAATAATGAAAATTAAACATAATAAAATACAATTCTCACGACTTTACAGAAACTATTGTCATTGTAGTGCGTATTTAATGTGGCGCTGCACTCTGATGTTGTCGGAGAAAACATTTATTAAAAAGTATATTTAATTAAGTGGAAGGTGTCGTCTATATTTATTTAAAGTTGCACACGTGACGTCACATTTCTCAATTCACCCTCCCCTCGTCACACATCGTCATAAATGTCTGACCCCACCTAGTTGCGTGACGTCATTTATGGACGGCCCGTTGGACAATCAATTAAGCGAGTGCGTGGTAGGTAGGGTCTGTTTGGCGATTTGCAGTAAATTAATAAAGCCACTTTATATAAACGTCATCAGCCTGTGAGTCTTCTGGAGCAATAAAGTATTGGACGTGAGGCACCGCGTTTGTTGATTGATTGTTAATTGATTGTTGCTTGATTGTTTATTGGTTGTTGATTGATCTGCCAATTGTGAACGATGTCCCGTTCTCCGACGTTGCGGCGTGACGTCACCACGCACTTCGGTACGACGTGACGTCACCGCCGCTCTCATTACGTCGTGACCTCATCACGCTATCTCCGGGGGCGTGACGTCACCACGCTCCCTGCACCTGTCGCTCACCGTACGTCGTGACGTCACCACGCTCTCCCCAACCGCGGTGACGTCACCGCGTTATCCGCGCGGCGTTACCCTCCTCCTACCCCCCCCACCTTCGTTCGTGATGACGTCACCACGCTCTCCGCAACGCGGTGACGTCACCACGCTCCCCGCACCCGTGAGGTGACGTCAGGACGCACGAGGGGACAAGAGGCGGAGGCGAGCCGCCATTTCACGCAGGAACGAGGCCGCACCGCTCCACCACCAGCACCACCTCCGCCGCCGCCACCACCACCACCATCATGAGCGAGGCCGCGGCGCAGCCAGAAAAGCCCCGGCCGGCGGTCCCCGAGAAGAAGATAATCGGTAATGGGCTCCGAGGCAAATGTTGGGGTGGAGAGAGGGGTGTGGATTTACCGCCGCCGCCGTGAGAGGTGCCTTCTGACCGGCGTCTCCGCAGCGGGCTGCCCGGCGAGGCTGTGCGGGCACGTGTCCCCGGGGGCAGGGCAAGGCTACGAGAGAATGAGTGGAGGGGGAGAGAGAATTGCTGAATTGAGAAGCGTGGCTTAAGGCGATGAGAAGCTGGGAGTTGTGTGGGAGCCGACACACGCGAGGGGGGTGACCCCCGCTGGGCTGGCGGCGCTTGGCGCGAGACGCGTGGTGCAGTCGGCTGCTGCCACGTGGTGGCCGTGCGGCGGGGCCTCCACCAGACCCGCGGCCTTCGCTCGATACCCCGTGTCCAGCGCGGGTCTTTGTTGCTTTGCACCTCTGGGGTTTTGGTGCCTTCCCCCCTCATCCTCCCCCAGTGTTCCCCCTTCTTAGCGGCGTCTCTTTGTTCCAATTTTGTATTAATCGCGCCGCGATGTCTCTTGAAGGATGCGTCCCGGATCTCGCACGCGTCGTGCGCGGTTCGCCCAGGGCCCTTCACGGGGGGGGGAGGGCCCCCCCTTCATTCTTAATTTTTGTACCGGGCAAGCATTTGATCTTGTGTCCGCTGGCTTTCTTGTTTCGTGAGCTCGTGTGGAATTAATTTATCCGAGGCCCGTCCTCCTTCCACGCGTTCAGGATGTTAATTGTAGCTGTCTTAGTCCTTGATTTATTATATTCATTTGTCGTGGGCCATGAACATATATTTAATGTAACGCCTGACAATTCGTTGGGGTGGGACGCGCATTGATTTGTCCTGCTTGAGGTTTCGGATTTAATCCACGCACGTGTTCCCGGGCCTTCCCTTCGTCTCCCGGGTCCCTTTAAGTTAGGGTTGGCCTTAATGCGTACAGGGCATTGAATGCATCTATGTAACGCTGGTCTTCGTGCGTATTCGTGTGGCGTTAATTAGTGTCTTCACGTGTGCAGGATGTTTAAAAAAAATCCATCTCCCCTCCCCCGGCCTTTGACGTGTGCGGGGCTTTCGAATATCCCCCCTGGCCCCTTCATTCCTCTCTCTTTGAGGCCTTGCACGTGTTGCCTGGCCTTGCACGTGTGCCACGTGTGGTGTCCGTGTCTGCTGTGTGTCAATGGACAGACCTCTCTTTGATTTCCTTGACGAAACATTTAATACATTTAGCTTTGGCTTTTTGAGCTCGTGTTGTTAAATCCAAAAGATGTTTGTCCCGGGTCACACATGACGTGTCGCGCGGTGCCTGCGTGTGCGTCTCTCCCCCCCCCCCTTCCGTAGCCACCAAAGTGCTCGGCACGGTCAAGTGGTTCAACGTCAGAAACGGATACGGCTTCATCAACCGGTGAGCCTGGGAGGGGTCATTCGGTCATGTGGGGTCATTGGGTCAAACCCATGAGATGGGGGGGGTAGTGGTGGGCTCGGTAAGGGCGTGACGTGTAGCCGTTCGGCCCTTTGTGGGTTCTTTGGGGCCGGTTGTTCCACGTGACCACGTGGGCCCTGAGGGTGGTGGTCCCGTGACGGGTGGCTGGTTTTTGACGTGTTTGCGAGTAGCTGGACACCCGTGTTGTCGTCGTCTTTGCTGAGGGATTCTTGTTGCTTTGTGCCGCAGGAACGACACCAAGGAAGATGTCTTTGTCCACCAGGTGAGGCGGGTGACGAGCGAGTGGTTTAGCCGTGCACACCGCAAGATCACGACGGTGGTGGCTGGAAGAGATGTTGGCTGCGGAGAGATGGGAGATGGTGGATTGTGAGGAAGAGATTAGGGATTGGAAGGGAAATTAGGGCTTGAGAGTTGAGGATCAGGAGAGTTGGGTCTTAAAGGGGAGATGGGGACACGGGCGCAGTGGAGCCAGGGGGGGTGGGGAGGGTGAGAGATGACATTGGAGGAATGGGAGGTGGGGGCTGGAAGGATGGGGAGAGAAATGTGAGTCAGAGTTTGGAGATATGTGGTGTAGG